ATTGTTTTGATTGTTGCTTAGTTCCTGCTGTGTAATGTGTAATGATGAATCCAGGTTTCATCGACGGTCACAACTCGACGCGAAAGCTCCTTCGGATTTCGCTTAAATTGCTCTAAACATTCCTTCGAACAGCGTCATCGGCTTGTTGTTCACCGTGAGCAATTACGGTACTCAACGGGCCGACAATTTTTTCATAGCCAACTCATCATTTAATCATGTCGTGGACTTTTTGAATGATTTCCTCGGTAACCACGACTGCCGGGCGTGCTGGTCAATCCTCATCAAAAACAGAGGTTCGCCCACGTTTAAATTCGTTTTACCAATATCTATCTGTGGTTATAGATGGCGAAGTGTCCCCATAAACAGCATCCAACTTTGATTTTATCTCCTCGCATTTTTTCCCATCCGAAAACAAAAAGCAAATTACCGAACAATACTGCTCTTTTTCCATCTTAGCGAAAATCACGAAAAACGTCTTACCCGAATGGCTGCCAAATCCAAACTAGCCTATCAATCAGTCTCAAACTTGTTGTGCCGTCCTTTGATAGATGGCAGCACACGATGGTAACAAGGAACACCCTCTGTCGTCAAACACGGGTACTTATTGAACCGCCCTCGTAGATCTCAGTGGTTGAAGCTGTGCGTCTACTAACTGAGTCGTCGTGAGCTGTGAGTTTCAGATCCCGTTGCAAGCGAGTTTTTCCTTTGGCTGCGATTCTCCGTAGGTGGTAAACGGTCTCAAACCTTCGAGCGTGGAGGTACCTCCCGATGAATCTCCAAGTGGTGACTAGGATTTGTGCATATCACATGCACAGGTTTGATCCGCTAGAGTATGTGACAACTTTCCCCTTTCTCCTGTTTTCCCGTATAGTCCCACGATATTCACAATTACTTAGGCATTAGGTCTACAGAGTATTACCACGATTATAAGCTCTCTCAATAAGAGTACGTTCTTCATTTGAACCAAAATAGCAACATTTACCCTTCTAAAATGCACCAAGCCTCAGTTTTTTGCCCACAGCTCCACCGAAACTGGATCAATTTTGAAAAGCTACAAAGTTCTTTCGACTTTGTCATAGTCGTAACCTTGAGTCAACATTTGGTCAAAATCCAAACGCTACTTTTAGCGGACAGACAGACAGACGCGATAAGCATGCCATGTTACAAAAACAATTTTTAGCGGGTGAAATTTTACATGACTATAACGTTCACCAATTCGCGTAAGAAATAAAAATTAAGGGATTTTCGACGTATTTCGCAGAAAGCCAGATATATCGATACCCTAAATTAGTGACTTTTCCGATCAACAGCTAGTAATAAACACAGTGATAAATCTTTACTTCCTGTCACATCATACCCTCTCCTCGTTCAAAACAAACATTCATTTTGATCATCTCGCTTCGAAATATCAAATATACCACTGATGCTAGCAACCAGCCTTTATATACAGCCCCACGGAGACATATTAAGTCTTCTGATTTTCCATTAGCACCTTCGTAGGCATGCTTAAAAGTTAGCCCCGAACATGTGTGTAAATAGTTTAAGTTCGGCAATATTTCAGACGCAGCTGTATTTGACAGTTGGAAAATCTAATACTACCACGGAATCGTGGCTTGCCTTAAGAAACTCCGGGATATGGAGGAATGGTTTATGTCGTTTGATTCGTATAGAGGTTTCTACCGATTGTAGATATGCAATATTGCGCCTCCTAGAAATTTCGTTAATCTAGTGATTAAGGATAGTTAAAAAATGATTTAAGGATACATTGTGATGTTATTTTACCAAAGATTAGAAGAGAGTAAAATAAAGTAGAAGACAGTATAAGAGAGTAGAAGACAGTATAAGAAAGTAGAAGAGAGTATAATTTATTTATTTATTTATATACAGTTTGGGGTGTTAACAGGTAAACCCAACACACACCCTCAGTGAACTAAAACTAAACTTACATAAAATATCGTATACATATACATACTGTTGGACCAGCGAAAGATTGCAAGCCGAAAGAATGCGGACAAAAAATTGCGAAGTTGTCAGATGTTCTACATAAAATGCGGTCCATACATATTAACATATTTAAGATATAGAATTGTTCCGCTGAATTTGGCAATGTAGCTGGAAAACCCAGGCCGCAGGTAAACATCCGGTCGCTGATTGGTCCAAAACTCTTATCTTATCTGAAACTAGAATAACGTGCCGATGGCACGGTCATTTATAAACCTACTCCCATAGGCGTAGGCAGTTGGCAAATACTTTGAAAATATAATTTACTGTTTAGTGGTGATAATGGAATTCAAGCATGGGAAAGTTATTCACAGCCAGGCAAGGGAAATAATAGCAAACGTGATACGTGCTTGCGATGCAGAAGCGGCTAACAATACTTTCGTTTATCCACTGGTAGCTAGAAATGCAAGGGCGGCATATTATACGGGTGTTAGTGAACGAACTATAAGTAAAATTAGAAAAGAAGATAAAGACAGGCAAAATGCAACCTCCACACAGCCTTTAGCTTCTCCCGGAAAAAAGAGATCACGCCCTTCTGTGATCCAAAAAATTGATGGAGTCGATTTTTCCATTATTCGGAGAATGATAGAAAAATTTTACTGTGATTTTAAAGTGGTACCTACTTGTAGTAAACTTCTAATCAAACTGAAGGAAGAAATGGAATTTCCATTTGGTAAAGAATCGTTGAGGCTGCTTTTAAAAGCAAAAGGATTTTACTGGCGTAAATGCCACAACAAAAGGAAATTACTAATGGAAAGACCCAGTATTTTACATTGGCGATACAAGTATCTTAGGTCTATTAAAAAGTTCCGGGAAGAAGGAAGGCATATTATTTATTTGGACGAAACTTGGGTTGATAATGACCTCACTTTCAAGAAATGCTGGCAAAGCGAAGAAATTATGGGTGTCCTGAGCAATATAAGTTCTACAGGTAATAAAGTTTCTTTCACCTCGATTTTGCTTATTATACATTTTTCTCAATTTTGGAATATTCTTAATAAGTGCTCATTTAATTTGTCTAATTGAATACATAATCCCTTGCAAGTATTTTTTTCTCAAAAATATGTTTTTTATACATAGTGATTCAAAAAGGTGTTGGCAAACTTAAAATAACACTAAAATGAGGCTATTTATTCATTTCCAGGACGACTTATAATTGTTCATGCGGGTTCGCAAGATGGTTTTGTTCCTGGAGCCTGTCTCATTTTCAAGGCTGGCTGTGCCACTGGTGATTATCACGGTCAAATGAACCAAGAAAATTTCACGAAGTGGCTTACTGAAAAACTATTTCCTAACATTCCTCCTAATAGTATTATAATAATGGATAATGCACCTTACCATTCAGCTTTGGAAGACAAGCCTCCAACTAGATCTTCTCTAAAAAGAGACATCATCACGTGGTTGAGCAAAAAAGGTATAGAGCATGATCCTAATGCTAAAAAAATGGAGCTTTATGAAATAGCTTGTCTACATAGGCCACCGTCTGATGAGAAAAATTATAAGATAGATAATTTAATAAGAAGTTTCGGACACACCCCACTTCGAACGCCACCCTATATGTGTCAGTTTAATCCCATAGAGATGATTTGGGCACAAGTAAAATTTTTCATTAGAAGCCATAATACAAGCGGCGAATTTACTATAAAAAAACTAGATGAAATTTCTAATAAGGCCATCGCTTCAGTAAGTGCCAGTGACTGGCAAAAGGTTATTGGACATGTTATAAAAATTGAAGATGAATATTGGGAAAAAGACAGTCTCATTCAAGAAATACAGGAAGAAATAATAATCAACATAGGAGGTGAAAGTGATAGCAATGACAGTTCCTCAGACAGTGATCATGACTCTAATCAGGATTGAAACTATACTAGATTGGCTACCTTTTAGAATTTTTAGATATTCATTTATTATACTATTGGTTTGTGGCTTTTAGTATCTCAGTAGAAAGTCTAATTCTATGTGTTGTTTATGGGTTATTTCATCAAGAAATTACTTTTTGTTTTCCTATATTTTTCTATTCAGTCAGATATTTTTGACTTGTTGTATTCTATTTTAGAAGAATGCATAATTTGTTTTGCTGTTCAATCATAATGCGTACATAGGAATATTACTTGTTGCCTAAAAAATATATTTATTTTGTTCTCAATATTCAGTGTTTGTGTATATTTATTTCTTATAATGTATGTTTGGTATCACGTCATTATGAATCGCAAAAAAATATTAATACTACCAGTTGTAATAAAATATAAATTCAATTAATAATTCAAGTCTCTCCGATCTCCGCCTATGACTCCATATAAAATCGTCTAATGGTAAGGTTTTTTCATCGCATTTCCCCCTTTCGTCCCTAGCAATCTTTGGCTGGTCCAACAATATATTACATTATTGAATACTTCAAATTTGTTTATCTTCCGATATTGTTGTAACAACATAAACTGAGTGAGTAGTTCTAATTATAAGCAATAAACTATTAATTTAACTTTTTTGATAAAAGGAGTATACATAATTTAACATTTACTTACGTTTAATTAAAACTGAAATAAAAATTAAATTGAAATTATACCAGAAATGATATTGGAGGTGATAACTTGAGTTATGTGAAAAAAATAAAGCATTTCTATTTTAGTCTGTCATAGAGCTGTAATACTCATACTTTAAAGCCTTTTTCAGGAAGGTCAAGCTAATGTTAAATAAATCTATATTACAGAGATTATTATGATTTTTTTGAGCCCTGACCAAAGGGGAATTAAGACCAAGATTAGTTCTACGGAACGGTATTTGTGAGTTTAGGAATAAACTCGTATTTATGTTTGTATGTTTTTTGCCAACTAGTGGTTCGAAGTCGACTCGACTAGAAATAAACCAGTTATGAAGTAAATGGTGTTTGGTTCACACCCCCAGTTATTACACTGGCGACGAGGAAAAGTTAAATATTTTACGGACATAGTTGTGCGTGATTTTTTTTTTCGTTCGCAGTTGTACGCCAATTGAACAATAAAATGTCGATCGGACGGATGTCGGAGTTTAAGTTAAGTGGCTCGAACTGGAATACCTACATTTCCAGATTTGAGCAGTACTTCATTGCTAATAAAATCGAAGAAGAATTAAAAGTAAATACACTGTTGGCTGTCGTCGGGGAAGAATTGTTCGAGCTGATGATCGATTTGTGTAACCCGGACAAACCGGAGGAAATTACTTACGAGGCATTGGTCAGGTTAGTTAAAAATCATCTCCATCCAGAGCCGTCCAAAAGAGCAGAAAGATTCAAATTAAGATTACGCAAGCAAGAGCCCGGCGAATCTTTAGCGCAATATTTAGCTGCACTTAAAAAACTAGCTAAAACATGCCAATTTGGAGACAGTTTGGAAGACCACTTAACAACTTAACAACTTTTCACCGAGAAAGATTTAAATTACATTAAAGCAGTAAGAATTGCCTTAAATATGGAGGCCGCAGAGAAAAATTCTCTCATGGTGGAGGAAGCAAAGTCTTCGTCGATGGCGATAGTAGCAGTTCACAAAGTTTCGGGCAGAGGGCAACGTAACCATGGGCCACGTTCCAGCTGTTGCTGCCATTGTGGGAAATCAAACCACGAAGATATCCGATGTTTCTTTCGGAAATCGAAATGTCACAGGTGCGGTATAGTGGGGCATTGACAGGGAAGCATGTGCAATAATTTTTGGGTTAAAAAAATTCAATCAGTATTTAGACGGCCGCCAGTTCACTTTAATCACGGATCATAAACCTCTGGTTGCAATTTTTGGTGCAAAAAAAAGGAATTCCATTATATGCAGATAGTCGCTTACAGTGTTGGAGCATTATTTCAGCATCATATGACTACGATATTAGATATGTAAAAACAACAGAAAATGGAAATGCCGACGGCTTATCTCGCTTACCCGATGAAAACACAGCTAGTAAGATGGACTATGTAGATTTCAGTCATGTATTTTATTTCGAAAATAATACTCCATTTAGTTTTAAGCAAGTAGCCATTGAAACAAAAAAAGACGTTACTCTTAATAAAGTTTATATGTATTGTCTAACAGGCTGGCCAGATAATGGGGTCCCAAGAAATTGACAGACTTTTATGTTAAAAGAGATGAGTTGCATTTAGAGAGGGGTTGTATCTTATGGGGCATACGAGTAGTGGTTCCGGGCAAGTTGCGACAATATGTCCTCGATGAACTACACAGCACACATCTGGGTATGAATAAATGCAAATCATTGGCTAGGTCATATGTGTGGTGGCCCAAAATAGATGAAGCTGTGGAGCTCATGTGTAGCTCGTGCTCAATATGCAATGCAGTGCGTACTAATCCTCCAAAAACTCCACTCACTCCGTGGCCCATAAGTCAGTATCCTTGGTCTAGAATCCACTTAGATTTTTTAGGTCCCATATTTGGAAACAAATACTTGATTGTTATTGACTCATTTACAAAGTGGTTAGAGGTATTTAAAATGCAAACTGTCAATTCTCGCAATGTTATTAAAGTATTAGCTACGTTATTTTCAAGAATGGGGCTACCCGACACAATTGTTTCTGATAATGAACCTCTACTTGTGTCGACAGAATTTTCAAACTATTTACAAAAAAACGGTATTCGAGCTATACAGTCCCCTCCATACCATCCTGCTAGCGATGGGCAGGCTGAAAATTCTGTCAAACTTATTAAATCTGTGTTAAAAAAAAGCAAATATGGAGAACAAAAATTTAGATAATGCTTTGCTAGACTTTTTGCTACAATATAGAAATGCAGAGCACGCCACTACTGGCTATAGTCCGGCACAACTGATGTTTGGCCGAAATTTGAAAACCCGTTTAGATTTACTAAGGCCCAATAACAGAATAGTGGTTGAACAAAAAACGGAAAAGCAAATTCAACACTCTGGAGGCCATTCAAAATTTCTTGGGGTGGGTGATAGTGTACATTATAGAGACTATTCTAAATCAAATGAAAATGTGTGGTTTCCGGGTACTGTAAAAAGCCAGTTAGGTTCTTCTGTGTTTGAGGTCGAAACTCCTAACAATACCATCGTAAAAAGACACAGCGATCAGATTCGTAAAAATAGACTGTGTGCGCCAGCCAACCTATCAGTTCCATCAGAAATAAACACAGAAGAATCTAGTTCCTTGGCAGCTGGTGAAAATGAAAACATTATACCGGAGCAAAAAAGTCAAGGTTGTCAGCCGGGTATAAGCAACCATGTGTCTCCTAGGTATAATTTACGGCCAAGAAAATTTACCTGTTATGTATTTCCTTCTAGTCGACTTTTAATAAGTTTAGAGATGTGATTTTGTTTTGAATATTTGTTGTTTATTTTTATACGAGAAATATGTATTTTTGGAATAAGGGTGAAGGTGTAGAGTTTAGGAATAAACTCGTATTTATGTTTGTATGTTTTTTGTCAACTATTGGGTCGAAGTCGACTCGACTAGAAATAAACCAGTTATGAAGTAAATGGTGTTTGGTTCGCACCCCCAGTTATTATTATTCTAAACAGATGATAGGTTCTAAACGTTCTATCAGGAGTGTTAAACTTCAAGTTTGCCAAAAGATCCGGACAGTCAGTGAGGTCATTCAACAATTTATGAACACAGCAAATGTCAGAAATCGTTCTTCTATCTTTTAAGGAAATCATATTGAACTGTTTCATAATTTGCGTATAATGATGACCTGTAACAGGTTGGTGAGTTTTATGTGCTAACATCTTCAAAATTTGTGTTGAATTCTTTCTATCCTGGCTATATGTACATTGTAAGACGGATTCCATATTACTGATGCAAACATCAATTTGTTGTGTATATAAGCGTAGTACAATGAAAGAAGCGTTTTTGGGTTCGTAAATTCTCTGCATGTCCTGTTTATGAACCCTAGTGTTCTATTAGCATCATTTACGATGTGCTCTACGTGAGTGATGAATGAGAGTTTCTCATCAATGTATACCCCTAGGTCTTTTACTACATGAAGCTTTTCCAGTTCTGCCGTCCCTATCTTATATCTGAAATCTATAGTGTTCGCTATGTTTCTAGTAAGCCTCATGTAATGACATTTTGTTAAATTCAGGAAGATACTGTTTTCAGTGCAATACTTTTGCAGAGATTCCAAATCGCTTTGAAGTTTTACACCGTCATTTACATTTCTAACAATAGAGTAGAATAGAGATGAATAAAGTAGAAGGGAGTAGACTAGAGTAGAAGAGAACAGACGAGAGAAGAAAAGGGTGAAATAGAGTAGAAGAGAGTAGAAAAGACAACAAGCGAGTTTAAGAGTGTAGAGTACAAGTAAAAGAGGGTATAAGTGGTTAAAAGAGAGTATCTTCACTGATCGTTTGGCCATGTGCGATTTCAAGCTGTGTCCTCAGTAGTTCTTAATCTTGGGCATTGTAGACGACTCGCTTTGCAAACATCCATTTTCGTTGGTGTGGTAGACGTAGAACGTATAAGGACATGAATTTTACAGGCAAATTATTTCGCGGTTTATCCTTCGCACACTTTGGTGATATTAAATTAAAATTAATTGGTAATAAGATTACGTCTAAGGGAACGGGAAATTTAATCAATTTGTATTAGCTCCTTATAGGCGAACTGAAATTTTCATTTAGACCCTCCTTGCCCTCACGCCATGTGGCGGCGTTTTCTTAGAAGTTCGGGGAACTCCTAATCGAGCTCTTTATGTATATGTAATTTTGTATGGTGGAGGAAAATAGCTTGGGTGTGACACGGTGACAAAGTGAAAAGGTTGCTTATAGAATTCTCTGTCAAGTAGAATGACTCGCTATTTCCATGTTACGCACTCAATCATATTAAGAATACATAGTTTCCTCAGAGCCCTCCCTCACCGGGATGCCATGGTGACGTCACCATCGTAGCCAAACTAACATATTGTTGCCATATATTTTAATAGTAAGATCTTATGATGATTCGTCGAGATCGTTTGCGAGAACAGTTTTTTCCTGACAACAACAGGAACTGTCGCTTTATGCTTCAGGATGAGTGGAAGTTGGTCCCGCTACTTTCCAGAGAGGAGTAGCGTTGTCAAGCATTGGTCCTAGAAATGCGTTCAATTGCTCGTTTTGGCATTCATGAAGTACTTCCTCACTCCGTGAACAATATTCAAAGCTCTGCGAATATCATCAGGATGACACAACCTTTTTGCCTGCTTAAAAAAGTATATTATTATCGTGTACCTCAACATTGATCGATACAGCTCCTTTTCGTTGAATAATTAAGCCAACGGTATGGAGGCCCGTCCACTGCATTTTAATCTGGTCAGATGGAGTGGGGTTTTCTCTTTCAACTCCTGCTTAATCTTTTCTACTTGAAATGACCTTCTGACCGCGTGATGACAAACCGATATTGTTGCCAGAATAAGCGACCCAGAAAGCCTGATTTGAATGACAACTTGTTACCAAATTGTGGAAAGACGTCAAGATTATTTCTTCTAGCATACGATTCTATAGTATTTTAACAGTTTGACGAAACCATTTAGAGTATACGTTTCAAAACTAATTCAGCAGTTATACTAACTTTATTTTAATTCTACCTACTGTGACATAGGTTCATGTTTAATTCAGAAGGCGTTTAATATGAAAAATCTTGTCGCCAACTTTAGAATGGTCACGAACTCTGGCTCTGTTGGGATTTAAGAAACGACACGATGTAGGCAACAAGGAGGGCTTAGTCCGTTGGGCTTTGGATCCCCATTTTGTATTTCTCCGTCGATTCGGGTGCTGCCTAGGAGATGACGTGATTGGAATATAAAGGATGTATCTAACTTTAGAGTCTGGATGGACCCAGGATTCAGGAGGGGAATAAATGTAATTATTTGCCCTTTTTCCTGTAGTGCCGTATATTAGCTTCTAGGTGGAAATGTTGGCTTTAACGGCACATATTGGTATTGGAGAAAAGAAGGAAACCATTAATTTCTGAAAAATTGAGGGCAAGAACTATTGCAGAAACCTCCCCCATTTTTTTAAGACGTCATAGTATTTCTTCAACGAAATGATCTGTTTTACCTTTCACCTTTCTTTCAGGACCAAGTAAAAGTGATATCTATACGGGGATTGAATACAAACATCGAGTCTAGTAAATCTATTTGAAATTTTAAGCATAACTGAAACTCTTCGTCATTACTGAAAAGTGAAATACGAGAAATTCCCGATTTAAAACCTTTTGAATTGTTTGTCAAAGTGACCCAAGGGTTGAAAAACGTCAACAAACGCAGTTTGGCATTTGAATCTTCTACAATTTCTTTACCACATCCAAATACTACCGGAATGGCGTCAAGTAGGTTGATACTGCATTGCTGTCACCAGTTCATAAAATATTATGCTACATAGAAGTTAACTACGTACATGTACAAGAGATTTCAGTGGATCAAGT